TATGATGTTAAAAATTCCTGTTTATACAGAAAATACTCAAAATTATTAGAGCCAGGAAAAAAAGATACCCTTATTCTGTCTAAAATCATACTCTTCTATACATCAAGAAAGGCAATTTGAAGGTCTACAATTAGAGCTCTTAAAACAAATTTAAGGGGTCAGCGCTGTGGTGTAGTAGGTTAAACATCTGCATCCCATATGGGCACCGGTTCAAGTCCCGGCTACTCCACTTCGGATCAAGCTCCCTGCCAATGGCCTGGGAAAGCAGCAGAGGATGACCCAAGTACTTGGGCCCCCGCACCCATGTGAGTGATCAGAAAAAGCTCCTGGCTTCAGATCAGCACAGCTCCAGCTGTTGTGGCCATTTAGAGAGTGAACCAGCGGGTAAAAGACCTCTCTCTATCTCTATCTCTCCCTCTCTCTGTCTGTAACTATGCCTCTCAAGTAAATAAATAAATAAATCTTTTTTAAAAAATTTAAGTAACTCTCTCTTTTTTTTTTTTTTTGACAGGCAGAGTGGACAGTGAGAGAGAGAGAGAGAGAAAGGTCTTCCTTTTGCCGTTGGTTCACCCCCCAACGGCCGCCGCGGCTGGCGCACCGCGCTGATCCGAAGCCAGGAGCCAGATGCTTCTCCTGGTCTCCTATGAGGGTGCAGGGCCGAAGCATTTGGGCCATCCTCCACTGCACTCCCGGGCCACAGCAGAGAGCTGGACTGGAAGAGGAGCAACCGGGACAGAATCCGGCACCCTGGCCGGGACTAGAACCCGGTGTGCTGGCGCCGCAGGTGGAGGACTAGCCTAGTGAGCTGCGGCGTCTGCCAATTAACTGTATTTCTAAACATAACAATGAATCTGTACAATTTAAAAAAGTAGACTATCAATAATGTACCAAAAATTTATTCACTAGGTGCTTAAAAAGATAACTTCCCAAGGTCTTTGAGTCACATGGTTTCCAAGGTTTGCACTTTCCCAATCACAGGCAAAGCAGTACAGACTCTGAAGCAGCCGTCCCTGGGTATTGTTTTATATATTGATTCCAAAATATCAGGAAGCAGAACTTGGGTGGAATGCCACTTGATTTCATTTACATTTTCTAAAAAATACTTTTATATTTCAAATATCAAAAGTTCTCAGAAACACACAGTACAAATTTAACAGAAACCATTATAGGATCTCTTATCCAGTTATAAGCACTGGTTTAAACTGCTAGACCAATGAAAGTTTTGGTCTTTCCAAGAAACTACAGACTGCAGAAACAAATCAGTATTGAAAATATTCTTAAAAACTTTCAGAAAAAATCCTATGTCCCACTCCTAAAAGCCAGAGTCTCTTGACAAATCCAAGGGCAAATTATTTAACCTTGCTAATCTCTCGTGTCTTCACCTACAAAATGCAGACAAAATAGCACCTAAATTATTGGGCAGTTGAAAGGACTGTCCAAAAAGACACATAAAATGCTTAGGATACTGTGAAGCATACATTAAGTGCTCAATAAATGTTGCCCCTGGCTGTTATTACTAAACCACTGCAGGCTAGCTCTATGTCCAGACCACTGGTTACTGTGCAGTAGGCCTCAAGGATGTCAAGGTTTATCTGGACATGGACAAAACCCACCGTGGTCTCTCTAGCCATGAGGGGCAGCCAGGGAAAGAGGCAGTGAGAAGGAATACCCAAAAGGCGGAGAAGGGGCGGGACTAGGCAGGACAGCAAGCGCATGACCAAGTTTCCCTTCCTCCTGTGTGCACAGTTCCTTTCATCTGAGGCAGAGGGAGCCTGGCCTGTTCACCGCCCAATGTCTACAGAGAGCACAGGCACCAGGCTCTCAGGCAGGCAGTGATGGAACTGTCACAATGCAGCTTTGCACGCAAATCAAAATGTACTGACATTTCTCTCACCATTTGTAACGACCTTGCCACAAAGGTTTCTGGCTACCACTTGGAAAGTAAGATGCCAAAAAATGTTGCACAATGAACACTATGACCAGACATTTGAGAGATTAATGGAAGAAAAAAATCATATTTTTTAAAATAACTGATCAAAACCCAGACATAAAATGTACACTTAAGACTTTATATATTGTGGGGTCGGTGCTGTGGCGTAGCAAGTAAGGCCACCGCCTGCAGTGCCAACATCCCATATGGGCACCGGTTCGAGTCCCAGCTGCTCCACTTCCTATCCAGCTCTCTGCCATGGTCTGGGAAAGCAGTAGAAGATGGTGCAAGTCTTTGGGCCCCTGCACCCGCCTGGGAGACTTGGAAGAAGCTCCTGGCTCCTGGCTTTGGATCGGCGCAGCTCCAGCCCTTGCGGCCAACTGGGGAGTGAACCAGCAGATGGAAGATCTCTCTCTCTCTTGCTCTCTCTCTCTCTCTCTCTCTGCCTCTCTCTGTGTAACTCTGACTTTCAGATAAATAGTAAAAATAAATCTTTTAAAAAAGACTTTATTGTTTTTCACATCGCTTTCTGGGTTAAGGTGACAGATCTAATTTTGCTCTCTCCTGAAACTCTCTTGAAACTATGTTAAAGAAATATTTTTAAAGACACAAACTCGCAAGGGAAAATAGGAAACAGAAAAAATTGTGAAAGCAGGAAAGCAGATGGACAAGTGATTACTGCTTCGGCAGAGCCAAGAAAGCCCAATTTCAAGCCAAAAGGATGAAGTTGAGAACCAACCTAATTCACACTCACAATCCTCAAAAGGCACTGGCAGAGAGGCGCAGCACGCCCCAGACTCGCTCCCTGTGAGCCACACACCAGTGTGGGCTTAGTCCCTGGAGGAAATAAAAATGAGAATCTCTGGACCAAGAGCTCCTAGAGACTCAGCTGTGAACAAAGGTGCCGTCCAGAAAACAGGGGCTTTAACTACCACCACACTCGGAGAATACTATGTGCACTGCACACAGCCACACCACAAAGCCACGAGAACACTACGAGCTAGACCCGAATGTCCCAAGGTCACAGGAAAAGGTCCCTCTGGGCCTCTTCACCAGTTGTAAAGAGCTACAGACACTGACATCAGGGATTCCTCAATAACACAGTTAAACTCAGAATTGCTAAGGCACCCCCACTTGCTCAGAGTTCCAACTGTAGTTCCACAAAGATAATCAGGAACAGAAAGGGATAATCATCTGAGGATGGGAGAGACCGCAACAGACACCAAGAAGTAGCAAGTTGGGGCCAGGGCTGTGGCGTATTAGGTCAAGCCTCCACCTGCAGCACCAGCATCCAATATGGGCACTGGTTCAAGTCCCAGCTGCTCCACTTCCAATCCAGCACCCTGCTAATGGCCTGGGGAAGCAGTGAAAGATGGCCCAACTGCTTGGGCCCTTGCACTCATGTTGGCCCAGCTCCAGCTGCTATGGCCACCTGGGAAGTGAACAAGCAGATAGAAGAACCATCTCTGTGTCTCTCTTTAACTCTGCTTCTCAAATAAATAAATCTTTAAAAAAAGTGACACTTTATTTTAAAAAACAAATAATAAATAAAAGCACCAGCAACTTAACAGAAACAGATGGGGAAAAAACATTACTAATATAATTCCTGAGGATGCCCATGGGAGGAAAAACTAACAAAAGAGCTCTTAGAAAAACTAAGGTACCAGAAAGGAAAAACTAAATGGTACAGCTGGAAGACCAAATAAGATAAGGGGATCTCACAGAAACACCAGCAACACATACACACACTCTCCCTCCCCAAGGAAAACTGAGGAGAAAAGGTAAGAAAATCAGAAGACTAAAACAGAAGTTCAGCGATCAGTGTTTATTGAAATAAGAGCTCAACCCCGGCGCCGTGGCTCAATAGGCTAATCCTCCACCTGCGGCGCCGGCACACCGGGTTCTAGTCCCGGTTGCCCCTCTTCCAGACCAGTTCTCTGCTGTGGCCAGGGAGTGCAGTAGAGGATGGCCCAAGTGCTTGGGACCTGCACCCCATGGGAGACCAGGAGAAGCACCTGGCTCCTGCCTTCAGATCAGTGCAGTGCACCAGCCACTGCGGCCATTGGAGGGTGAACCAACGGCAAAGGAAGACCTTTCTCTCTGTGTCTTTCTTTCACTGTCCACTCTGCCTGTCAAAAAAAAAAAAAAAAAAAAGAAGAAGAAGAAAAAGAAAAAGAAAGAAGAGCTCAAGACAAACAAAACAGGGAAAGTGAAGAGGAAGCGACCAAGAGATGTTTCCAAATCAAGGCACTGCATGAAAACCAGCCACAAGAGGGCGTTAACACTAGCGAACTGCAGACCCGAGAAGCAGAGAAACAGCACAGGCTTCCAGCTAAGTCCAAACCACTCCTGTGCACAGAAGCCCGGATAGAGCAGATTCAGATTTCTTGACAGCCACGCTGATGAAAGTCTCATCTCCCGGACTCCACGCCCTGCTCCGCTGCTCCTTTCACCCCAGCACCCGGAAAATCCAGGTCTCTACAAGTATCCAGTGCTCAGGCCACACTACACCCTGCCACCACGCAGACAGAGGGGAACCCTGAGTTTTCCCACTCTGTCTCCTGACCTCACCACTGGCCTGCCCAGAGGAGCTTCCTGAAACCCCGGGCACACAGAAGCCAGATACTGAGCCCGAGTCAGCGGGGAGTCTTCTAGAAGGCTGCAACCAGCAGGCAGGACTGAGCTTTCCTCAGACAGCCTCCTGGGTTTTTGGTTGTTTGTAAGACAGCCTTCAGGACGCTCTGTTTTACATGCAGAGAAGCTAAAGCGCCCGAGAGAGGTGGGAGAGCGGCTCTGTGGGAGCCCGGCCCAGGCAGGGCCCCAGCGATGCCCGGCTTCCTGTCCTAGGTCACCAGAGCCAGAGTGCACTCTTCGCTTCTTTCAGACGCGCTGTCTTCACAACCTAAAAAACGCTTTAGTGCAGATATTCCTGCAAGCCAGCGATTACACAGCTCACTGTTAATTCGTAACGGTCTATACCACCTCGACAGCACAGCTCCGTAACATCAACCATCAAGAGGACGGGTTTAATTTAAAATATATACACAAATTCAGAACCAGATGGACTTACATTATGAGTCTTCGGTTTAAGAACCAGTATTTCCTCCGACTGCGGTCATATCCAATGGGCTCATGTCGAATGTACGGTTTGTTTTTTTGGATTTCAGCAACACAGTCAGTCACACCAGGCACCTTGTGTGCTACACAGACTTCACACTGCCACTCGTCCTCTGGCACCTCCTCAAGAGGCGGCTTCACGCATTCCAAATGGTATACTGCAGAGCACGTCTCGCAGCAGAGCAAATCCCCAAGTTTGTGGCAAACCCTACAATGGTCATCATACTGGATCACTCCTTCAGACATCAGTTCCTCCCGAGCAATATTTGTCGTAAGAAACTGGTCAACTAAGAACTGCAGGACTTTGATCTTGTTCTCGACTGGTCCGTAGGGGTAGTCCTCCGCCTCCTGGTAGGGAAGCACGTGATGGTACTCCTTATCGCTCTCACAGTACACCCGCAGCACCTCAGGCCACGTCATCCCGTCTATGAAATACAGCGTGGAATTCACACTGTCTTTCAGGTCAGCAGGCCCAAAGGTGGTGTTGGAAGTGTCTTCTTCACGCAGAACTGCTTTCAGAAGCACGACGTGCATCTCAGCCATGAGCGTGCACTGCTCTTGGCTCACCAGGGCTGCACAGAAGTCCTCAAAGCGAAAAGGAGACAACCTTAGCACAGTGCCAAAGTTCCGCAGTACCTCGTAAATGGCAATAACATTCATTATATGCTCATTAGGCACCATTAAATCCTCAGAGGACTTGGGAAATTCAAGGGGCGGGATATCTTTTTCTTCCAATATTGGAGAACGGGGCCGGTGTGCTCTTGGTTTCCGCCTACCTGTAAATGAAGAAATGGCAGCATTATAAATCAGTCAGTGCATTACGTCCTTCTACCAAGGGTTCTCTGGCTTTTCCTATTTGAACATGTACCTCGAAATATAGGTAAGCACACTTCTATTACTCTAATTAAATTCTCAATACCAAGAAGCAATGATTTATCTCCAATTTTAAAGTGTATAGAAAACTTAAATCCAAAGTTTCCCAACAGACTCCAAAGCAGAAGTTTAAAAAAAACCTGAATTATAATCAACTCTTAATTACCTAGAAGGATTAACTAGTTTATGCTTTTTAAAAGTAACAGTGCATTTGTGAAAGATCTGACAATATAAACGAGAAAAAAAATCTATGCGTAAGATAAGTGGCACGGGCTGAGGAAGCGACAGCTCACACGTGACAGCTGCCACACAGAGGGGCCTGTCCGCAGCGCGGAGCCCCTTTCGCAGCTGCCAGAAGAACTTCCCAAGAAGTCCCTTGGGCTCAGGGCGGAAACAGAAAGGGCAGCAGGAAGGACGGAGGAGGAGAGAGGAAAGGTTCCGGTACCAGAGAAAAACAAGAGCGGCTCACCAGGAAACAAGCTACAGATCACAGTTCTTAATGGTCAGGTGGGCAACTCTGAGGCACCTGTTCTCCAATGTGAGAGGCAATGGCCAGCACATGCATGTATGTATATAAATGGATCATTCGAGAGCTAAATTTGTTACACACTTATGAGGGAGGGCACGTCAAAAGTTCCTGAAAAACGAAAACTGAAATTAAAAGGTGAGTTTTTGTATTTTTCAGTTTTATTATTTATCTGAGGCAGAGAAAGAGACACAGAGAGAAAGCTGCCATCCACTGGTTCACTCCCCCAGATGACTAGGATCGGCGTAACCGCAGCTGTGGCAGCCAACTGGGAAGTGAACCAGCGGATGGAAGACCTCTCTCTCTCTCTCTCTCTCTCTGCCTCTCCTCCTCTCTCTGTGTAACTCTAACTTTCAAATAAGTAAGTACATCTTTAAAAAAAAAAAAAAAAAAAAGACACAAGGCACATCAGAGCGTGCCCGGGCTCAATACCCGCCTCTAGCTCCTCATTCCACTCCAGCTTGCTGACAGCGCAGCCCCTGGAAGGCAGCAGTACGGCGGGGGTACCTGGACTCCTGCCACCCACCTGAGCGACCTGGATTAGGCCCAGCCTCTGCAGCCCAGCTAGAAACCACAAAACAGCTTCTACCCAAATCATGCTTCTACACACGCTGAATAATGAGAGCACTTCTCACACTGTTAATATTAAATACTGGGCAGTTCACTCATACATTTTTGGGACATATAAATCGGTTCAAATTTTTAGAAAGTGATTTGGCCAAAAAGAAAAAAATAAAAAGGGAAATCTATCTGAATGCATACGTATCTTTTTGACTCAGCAATCCCAACTTCCTGGGACTTATCTAACAGATTTACTCACATATGCATTTAAGAAAATACAAAAAGACTTAATAATTTATAAAAGCTCAGGAGTGGACACTTGGCAAAGCAGCTGAAGACACTGCCTGGAACACACATCCCACACTAGAGCCTGCAGGCTGGAAACCCAGCTCCATTCCTGACTCCAGCGTCCTGCTGATGCAGACCCTGGGAGACATCCCTTCCACCCATGTGGGAGACCTGGACCGAGTCCAGCTCCTGGCTTTGACATCTGGGGTGTGAACAGCAAAGAGAAGATCTCTATCTCTCAGTCTTTTGAATAAATTTAAGCTGGAATTCTGTGTGTTTTATTTGCCTTTTTAAACTAAATATAAAGCAACAGTTAAATCAGCTATGATGTATGTATACAACAGAATAAAATCTAGCAGTTGAAAATAAGGTAAATTTCAGATGTGCTAACATGAAACAATCTTGCAAATATATTAGGTATAAACTGAACAATAAACCAAATGATGCCATTTGACTAAAGAAACTATAAGAAAAAAGAATATGCAGACAGTGATAAAGTATATCTATATATGTCTAATAGGTCATGTAAGAATCATTTCTAAAATTTTTTTTTATTTATTTGAAAGGCAAAGTTACAGACAGAGAGAGGCAGAGAGAGAGAAAGATCTTCCATCTGCTGTTCATTCCCCAAATGGACACAATGGCCAGGGCTGGGCCAGGTTGAAGCCAGGAGCCTGGGGTTCCATCTGGGCCTCCCAGGTCAGTGGCAGGGACCCATGAACTTGGGCCATCCTTGGCTGCTTTCTCAGGCCATTAGCAGGGAGCTGGACTGGAAGTGGAGAAGCCAGGACCAAACTGGCACCCATATGGGATACCAGTGTTGCAGGCCATGACGTCATAGGTGGAAGCTATTACTCCACAATGCCACCTCCATTAAGGATCTTCTAAAAGTAGTGCTTCTGGAGAGAATTAGGGATGGGAAAAAGCAAGCTTTTTAATATTTTAAAAAATATTTCATTTATCCATGTATTTTTATCCAAATATGTTATTTTGTTGTATTTTTTTTTAAAGATTTATTTATTTATTTATTTGAAAGAGTTAGAGAGAGAGAGGAGGAAAGGCAAAGAGAGAGAGGTCTTCCATCCGCTGGTTCACTCCCCAATTGGCCACAAAGGCTGCATTTACACCAATCCGAAGCCAGGAGCCAGGAGGTTCTTCCGAGTTTCCCACAGCGGGTGCAGGGGCTCAAGCGCTTGGGCCATCCTCCACTACCTTCCCAGGCCACAGCAGAGAGCTGGATCGGATGGATCAGTGGGGACTCGAACCGACGCCCATATGGGATATCGGCACTGCAGGCGGTGACTTTATCCTCTACGCCACAGCACTAGTCCCCATCCATACATTTTCGTTATAGTATTTTAAAAGAAAAAAATGGGCAGGCTATCTAAGTAACTACAATAGCATTTAAACCAATAAAACAATGCTGCTTCTAGTAACTGCTAATGGTCTTACATGAACACAAAATTGTATTATAGCCAAAGATTCAAGTTTGAGGATGGTATTGTGGCTCAGGGGTGTAAGCCTCAGCCTGAGACACCTGCATCCCTTCTGAATACTAGTTGCAGTCCCAGCCTCTACACTTCCCATCCAGCTCCCTGCTAATGCACCTGGAGAAGCAGCAGAAGACAGCCCCAGGACTTGGGGCCCTGCCACTCACATGGGAGACCCAGATGAAGTTCCAGGTTCCTGGCTTTGATCTGGCCCAGTAGATGGAAGATCTTTCTGCATATCTCCCACTCTCTATAACTCTACCTTTTAAATGAATAAAATAAATCTTAAAAATTAGAATCTGTAGTTTTTTCAAAATCTGCATGTGATTCATGTGCTCATTAAAGTCTGAGAAGCTGCCTTGAAACAGCCCTTCCTAGAACTAGGTGCAGGTGCAGCAAAACCATTTGGCAAGCTGTTAAAAGCGGTCTAAAATGAGACCCAAATTTACAGAACCCAGATCAATAATGTACATTTTCACCCTTTCCCCCAGATAATTCTGATGTATAGCCAAGCTGAAAAACACTGCTTTAGGGCTGGTCCTGCCACCTGCAGCGCCAGCATCCTACATGAGTGCCAGTTTGAGACCCAGCTACTCCACTTCCTATCCAGCTCCCTGCTAATGTGCCTGGGAAAGCAGTGGAAGATGGCCCAAGTGCTTGGGCCCCTGCACCAGGTGGGAAGCCCAGAAGTAGCTCCTGGTTCCTGGCTTTGGATCAGCCCAGCTCTGGCTGTTGTGGCCATTTCGGGAGTGAACCAGGGGATGGAAGATCTTTCTCTCTGTCTCTCCCACTCCCTTACTCTAGCCCCCAAATACATACATACATAAATAAACAAAATATTTAAAGAAGAAAAACTGCTTTAGGGCTGGCGTTATGGCTTAGCTGGTAAAGCCGCCACCTGCAGTGCCTGCATCCCATATGAGTCCCAGCTGCTCCAATTCCAATCCCGCTCTCTGCTATGGCCTGGAAAAGCAGTGAAGGATGGCCCAAGCCCTTGGAGCCCTGCACCCGTGTGGGAGACCTGGAAGAAGCTCCTGGCTCCTGGCTCCAGATCAGTGCAGCTCCGGCTATGCAGCCATTTGGGGAGTGAACCAGCAGACAGACTTTCTCTTTCTCTCTCTCTCCCCCTGCCTCTGCCTCTCTGTAACTCTTTCAAGTAAATAAATGAAAGAAAGAAATAAAGAAAGAAAAAGGAAGGGAAGGAGGGGAGGGGCAGGGGAGGGGAGGGGAGGGGAGAGGAGGGAGGAAGAAGAAAGAAAGAAGAAAGAAAGAAAGAAAGACAAGCAAGAAGAAAGAAAGAAAGAAAGAAGAAAGAAAGAACAAAGAAAGAAGAAAGAAGAGGAAGGGACGGGGAGGGAGGGAGGAAGGAAGAGAGGGAAGGAAGAAAGGGAGGGGGAGGGGAGGGGAGGGGAGGGGAGGAAAAGGAGGAGGGGAGGGAGGGAGAGGGGAGGGGGAGGGAGGAAGGGAGGAGGAGGGGGAGGGATGGAGGGAAGGAAGGAAGGAGGGAAGGAAGGAGGGAGGGAGGGAGGGAGGGAATGCAGGGGAAAGGTGGGGCGGGGGGCAGGACCAAAGGGCAACAATTTGTCAATGATTACCCACAGTCTAGGTTAACAGTATGAACTGCTTGGCTAAATGACAAAGAGTCTGGACCATTCAACAGGTGTTAACTTACTGAAGAAATTATGTTACTACTTTAATTAAAATGACCTGGCAATTGTTGAGGCAAAACGTCCTGCTTTCCTGTATTCCTTAATGGAAGACAGTGTCTACAGGGATGCTCACTTCTCTCAACTCTGGGGATGAACCCGGCCATCGGCACTCATCAGGCATTAACCACTGCTTAGGGCTGTTTTCTATGTGCCTGAGTTTCTAAATATGCACTGTGGCAATAATATGCATTTGCTTAACTTCTCTTTTTTTTTAATTTAAAAAAGGTATCTATATATTTTAATATAAATATATATTATATATAATATATATACACATGTGCATATACTACTTCGCTAACATTCCGAGAAATCCTAGACATTCTTCAAGG